CAGAAAAAAGCAGCAACAAAAAGACAATTTTCTTTTCACCCACCATCTTGTTTTTTATTCATTTGTATTAAATTAATTTTTCTATATAAAAAGACTTGGCCAAATAATAGTATAATTATCTTTTGTCCACTCAAATCATTTATTTGTGTCTCATCACAAACAAATGCATATTAACACAAGAAAATTTTAACATGTCTTTTCTCTGATGAAGTTTTATATTGAAACTTTTTTAATTAATTTATGAATAAAAAATTAAATTTTCTAAAATGAATTGATTTTAATGAAATCCCAATTTTCTTTCTCAGAATGGGAAAAATATATATTAAACAAAATTTTCTTGAGCATATTCTTATGAATAATCAAGAGTTGTCTCCCCTTGTTTCGTTACTCTTCTCTTTGAGAGAGCTATTTCTGTTTCCTGGGACTATAAAAGGACACTATACGTGAACCTTGTCTTCTAAGTTGAATAAAGCTTTCTTAAAGCCTACACCTATGTACTTTTGTCATTACACATAGATTACACTTTGGTTGGACCATTTTTTAAAACAAGAGTTTTAATGGCTCAGTTTTTGAGATTTTGTTATTATCCTGTTTCAAAAGAATTTCTGTTTTTGAATCTACTGCGTATTTTTGAAGATTAAGTAATTCTCTATAAGTGGTAACTTTCTATATCTTCTCAAAGTTTTTAATTGTTAATAATCGAGTTCTCCTCAACCTTTAATCTCAAAAGACCATAGTAAACAACTTATGGTTGCCCACTTTTGGGTTCTTATTTCAAAGGAAAGGTAACTGCACTTAAACAATGAGCAAATTCAGTGGCTTTGATGGTCAGCTTCAAATAATGCCTGAAAATTACCAAAATTACTTATATCCACCATTATAACAACTGAAAAAAGAGGTAAATCTAAATGCTATCATTAATGATATTTAAAAATAATGTTAATAATATTATGAAGTCAGGGAGAGTCATTTCATATGTACATGAAATAAGCTTTGGTGTAAAGGTCTGTTAAAATGAAAATGATTTTGATACACCCTAATATATAATAATAATAATAATAATGATAGTATAAATTTACTGGGAACCTAGATAATCTTTAGTTGTGCAAATGAAATAAGCTTTAGAGTAAAGGGCTATAGAAAATGAAAATACTTTTGATATACTCTAATATATAATAATAATACTAATAATAATATGGAGGAGTCATAGATCGTCTTTAGTTGTGCAAATGAAATAAGCTTTAGAGTAAATGGCTATAAAAAATGAAAATACTTTTGATACACCCTAATATATAATAATAATCTGTTGTAGTTGGAGCCCTCAGATTGGTTGAAAAAGATTCCAGTAGACTGATTGAAGGGATTCCTGGAAGCCCATGCCTTAAAGAAATACAAAAAATTGTTCTCACAAGTACAGCCCACACCTTACAAAGGGCTTTATGTATATAAAATATGTGTGTGTTATTTTTAATTTTTTTTTTAATTGGTCAGTAGAAAATGTACACACCAGAAATCAAAGGAAATGATAATAATATGAAGGAGTCATAGATAGTCTTTAGATGTGTACATGAAATGAGCTTTGGAGTAAAGGTCTGTAAAAAATGAAAATTCTTTTGATACACACTAATATATAATAATATTAACAATATGGAGGAGTCATAGCCTTTAGATGTGTACATGATATAAGTTTTAGAGTGAATGGCTGTAAAAAGAAAATATACCCTAATATATCAAATTATGATTGTTTAATACTGAAAACTACTTGGCATTCCCCTCTGATCTGGAATTAAAATTAACTAACAAAAGGTATTTGTTTAATGCCAAAATTTGTTATCATTCTAACCTGAACTATAATTAGGATTATTAATCAGAATTCCTTTACCATTACATTCTAATCTGATCAAGAATTAAGATTTTACAAGGCAGTTTAAAGAAAATCCTTTGACATGCAAATATGCTAGTTGATCTGTGGTGGCTTATGCCTGTAAATATTTTCATTTTGGCACTGTATAAATGAATGATAGAAAATTTTCTACGATCAGAATATAACAAAATTAAAAAAAACCCCAAAAACAACAAATATTGGCAGTAAATGTTTTATTTTTTTTTACTTCTCTTCATATTATGATTTTTTTGTTCATTCACCAAAAACTCCCTATCTGCAGTTGTCAACTCTTTGAATTTTTTTTCTGCCTCTTTTGCAGTTGCCATTCCTTGTTGGAGATTTGAAAGCAAAGATTCTGGTTTTATTTGACCCTTTACTGATTAAATCTGCTATAAACAGAATGTTGATTAATCTCCGTGTACTCTTTCGTTTTTTTTTTCTTTCAAAATTTATATCCTTCTTCATTTTTCTTTACTTTCTTCCTTTTATTGCCTTTCTCAGTTTTCATTTTCTATAACTTTCCTCTGTTTTCTACTTTATTTCTTTCTTTCTTTCTTTCCCTATATTTCTTTTTCTCTATTTTCTTTTTTCTACCTATACTTGTTTATTTATTTATTTATTTTTCCAATCTATATACTTTTTCTTTTTCCTACCTATATATCTTTATTTCTTTCTTTCATTATTTCTTTTCCTATATTTCTTCTTTTTCCAACCTATATTCTTTCTTTCTTCCTTTCTTTCTTTCTTTCTTTCTTCCTTTCTTTCTTTCTTTCTTTCTTTCTTCCTTTCTTTCTTTCTCAACTTATATTCTTTTTCTTAAGTTTTTTCTACCTATATTTCTTTTTTCTTCTACTTTTCTTTTGCTTTGTCTGTATTTCTTTTCTTTTTTCTATTTTTCTTTTCTTTTTTCTATCAACATTTCATTTTTCTTTTCCTTTTTTTACCTATATTTCTATTTTATATTATTTATACTTATATTTTTTCCGCTTCCCACTTCCTTCTTTTCTTTTTATACATATATTACTTATTCCTCCTCCTTTATTTATTTTACGTGCACACACACACACACACACACACACACACACACACACACACACACACACACACATATGTATATATTTGATTTTTCTAATTATTTCACCCCAAGCAAGACGATGAAGCCACCAAGATGCAAGCCACTACTTGGAGTGAAATAGAATGAAAATAAAATTTTTAAAAAGAACCACAAATCCAGTCCTAAACAGGGAACAAAAGACACACCTCTACTCCTGTTCAATTTTTATCTAACTCTTATTTTTGAAAAATTATTGCTCTTCTTTTTTACTAGTTCATTTTGGCCAGTTTTATTTTGTTATCTTTTTATCCACTTGCATCATAATTGTTTTCTATCTTTTCTTATTTCTCCTTTTTCTTATTTATTCTCCTTTATTTTTGTCTGCTTTATTTTTTTATTTTGTTTATTTTTTTTTCCTTCATTTTCTCCTTCCTTCATTTGTTCATTTATAACCATCCTGATTTCAAACTTCTTCTTCTTCTTCTTCTTCTTCTTCTTCTTCTTCTTCTTCTTCTTCTTGTTGTTGAAACGATGCTGTTTTAATTGTATGTATTATTGTCATACAAGTCTGGCCATATGACTGACCCAAACTTTTGCCTGAAGTTGCTGCATTCTCAGAGTTACTTCGAATCGTTATTATTAAAACAATGAGACAAAATATTATTTCGATTTATTGTAAAATGTGTCACTTTATATTATCTGATTGGAGAAAGCAGAAGACAATTATTTTTTTTTAATTGTCTGGACAATAGTGAATTTCTCTAAGCAGGTTTCTGTCTTTCCTGTTTAGTTCAAATTTCATTTTCTTATTCTAATATGGATTAAATATAAATTGATTTGTAGAGTTTTTACAAGTTTTTCTTTGAGAAAATCCATTCTTATACTCCTGAGAGAAGTTGGTGTTTATTCTTTTCTATATAAGGCTACAAAAGAATCATCATCATTGTCATCTTCATCCTGATCTTCATCGTCATCATTATTATTTTATGGAAAAAATTAAATGTATTGCTTGATTTATTTTCTTGCTTACTTTTAAATTAAGTTTCAGAACTTTTGACATATCTATCTATCTATCTATCTATCTATCTATCTATCTATCTATCTATCTATCTATCTATCTATCTATCTCAGTCTGTTCCTTATTTCTCATTTTATTCATATCTATCTGTATATAATATATATAGATATATATATAGTATATATATAGTATATATATAATATATATAGTACATTCATCTAAATGTTGATATATAGATTTATGTATGTCAATGTAGTCTTTCTCTCCCTATCTATCTATCTATCTATCTATTTATCTATCTATCTATCTATCTATCCAGTATGTACACATACATGAATATATATTCAATATATCTGTCTCACTTTACACTCTTACTAAACACATACTCACATTTTGTGTGTATGTGTGTTTAAATGTGTTTTAGATGTGTTTAAATAAAAACTAACAATTGAACTCATATTTTTTAAAAGTTCTGTGTGATTTTATTTTAACTGATTACAGATTTGATTAGACATCAAATCACTTATTGTTAGAAGTCACACATGCATCTTTTGTCAACTCTGCCTCCTCTTCAGAGAGTACTAAACCTGTGAGTACTTAATTTTATTCACACATATTAGTATTTCTTTGTATTTATCTACACAAGTATTTTAATTGTATTCACCCATAGAAGTATTTAATTTTATTTACACAAACATGAGTATATCTTTGTAAGTACGAACATAAGTATTTTATTTATATTCATCAATGGAGGTAGTTAATTTTATTTGCACACACATAAGTCTATCTTTGTATTTAACCACATGAATATTTTAGATAATTTGGTACATGGAAGTATTTAATTCTATTTATACATATAAGTATTTCTTTGTATTTACCCACATGAGTTTTTTTTATATAAATTCACTCAGGGTAGTATTTAATTTTATGTATAAATATGAGTATTTCATTGCATTCACACACATGAGTATTTTGTTTATATTCACCCATGGAAGTATTTTATTTTATTTTATTTACACATGAGTATTTATTGTATTTAGCCACATGAGTATTTCATCTATAATCTATAACCTATGGAAGTATTTTATTTTATTTACACACATGAGTATTTCATTGATAATCACCCATGGAAGTATAATTCTTTTTACACATGAGTATTTCTTTGTATTTAGCCACATTAGTGTTTTATTTATATTCACATATGGAAGTTTTTGATTTTATCCACCAAATAGATATGCCATTCATAAGTTATAAATTAAGCAAAGGGGACATTCTTACCATGCAAATAGTAATGGTGGTATTAGCTGTTTCTCTACAAGAAACATGTGGTATTCATAAACTGAAAACAGTTAACATATACACTTTTCTGAAATTTATAAATATGTTCCTTTTAAAACTGTTTTTTCAGGAAAGTAGACTTTTTAAATCCACTAACTGCTATCACTCTTTTTCCTTCCTAGCTTTTTCTTTGTGATAGTGTGGAATGTCAACATCTTGCTTATATCATTATTTTCACTTCTACTTACATAGCATGTGAAATACACTTGATTTTAAGAATATTTTATCAATGGTTACTTTTTTTTTGACCTGGTACAAGGCCACAGTTGCAGAGCACTCTTTGGGTCGGAACTCATAAAAAATGTTCTATCTCACCAGTTGTTTAATGATCATGTCATGACAAAGAATGAATGTTCGTGAATTTTATGATAATTTATTTTCATTGAAAAATAGTTGTTGAATATAAAGAAGCAGATTTTTATTTTTACTATACAAGGCCCAAGAGCCATTCGAGGTAGAAGGTTACTGTGAGGAGTTTGTTGTATGAGTAGTAAGGGTAAGAGATAAGTGGCACAGTTTATGAGGAAGATAATGGTTAACCATAGATGTGAACTGATTAAGATTTTAGTAGCTGGGGAAGCATCATCTTGAGAGTCGATTTCAGAAGGTAGAAGTGTGTGGGAAGAAGCTGTTCAAGTGGAACCAATGGGATACAAAAGGAATGAGGATGGTTTGCTACAGTGTACATGGCATGGCGGGTCCTATCTCTGAATGTTAAAACTGGTGGAACTAAGGAATGTAGCCTGTCTGGATATTTTCCATGTAAGCAGTAATAGAGCAGCAAGAGGCTTGCAAAGTTTTGTTTGCAGGAAAGGGGTTGTAGGGTAAAAAATAATTCATCACCCACAAGCTGTATAGACACTTATGGACTCTACCAAGACTGGAAAGTGAAGATATGGTGACAGTGCTCCATTTTTTGGTCTGATCTAGCTCTTGTAAAGATAGAGCATAGCAGAAGGAGCCAGATATTTGCCAGAGTGGTACAGGGAATTGACCATTTTTTTCACTATCTTTTGCGATGGAAGATATTGTGACTAATGCTTCAGACAAGAAACAAAAAAATCCTATGAAGTGTATTTAGTGCACTAGTTTTCTTTTGTAGAATTTGCATAAAGATAATATCATGCATTTGCTACTTGGCTTTTAATTAAGTCAAACTATTTGTAGATTTCTTGCTTGATAATGAACACTCCGAAATGAATGATGGCAAATAGTGTATAAGAATGAAAAGAAAAAAGAATCGCACTTGTTTCTTATAATTTTTAGGTTTGTGAGAATATAAAACAGTTTTTTAATAAATATTTGGCCTTTTGAACACAAAATAACTAATCATTCTTGCCATCAGGTGATTAGAGAAACTCCCCACCTCTTCAAAAGCATAAAACAAAGAACCCCCTCCAAAAAACAAATGCCCAAGTTTACAGAAGTCCAAGACTTTAATAAAGAAATGGAAAACAATAGTAAAAAATTAATTTGTTTAGTGTCTGTTGTTAAAAACAACTAGAATTACAACCTAATTGAAAAATAGCAGATTAAAAAGCTAGACTAAATGTCATTTGTAGCCACAAGAAAGCATGCGTTTAGATAATTTGAATAAAAAGTTATTGTTTTTGTTGCATGCATTAATATCGTGCTTCTAATAGGAACTAAGGGATTTCTTTTCAAAAACCTTTATTCAAATTTAATCTTATGTGCTGACAAAACAATCCTGCCTCAGGAGTGTATAACAATAATATTAATTATAATAAAAATAATATTAAATATAATAAAAAATAGTATTAATTATAATAAAAATAATATTAATTATAATAACTGCAAGAACAATAAAGGCTGGAAAATCTAGAAAATCTATAGAAGAAATAAAATCATTTTGATAAGAATTATTAGATAAAATATTGATGGAAACGGTAACTGAAGAACAAGACTTAGTGTCACTTTATTTACCAATGAGAGCCAACAGATATTTTAGGTGTGAAAATGAGGACATCCTCCTTTTCCTCAAACTACTACTGTTGTTGTTGTTGTTGTTAATAATAATAATAATAATAATAATAATAATAATTATAATAATAATAAAAATAAAGATGATGATGATGATGATGATGATGATGATGTAGAGTGGCGGCAGCAGCAGAGAAAAAAAAAGCAGCAGCAACACTTGTCATTTTGTCTCCAGTGGAAGCCAAAAAATTGAGAGAATAATGAGAGAAGCTTAGTATAAAAAAAATCCTCCGGGTCGGAAAGATTAATTTTTTTGACTGGCCTCCGAGCAGAGAGGATCCCCAAACGAATGTCGAAGGGCAGAGTCTCGTCTCGGCAGACAATACCTGACCCCGTTTTAAATTAGTTACTAAGAGGAATTAATCAAATAGCTTAGTATAAATCTTATGGAACTCTCCTGTCATTCTGTTCATTCCTCGGGTCGGGAAGATCACTCTACGGATTACTTGGAGAGTGTTGGTCAAACTCTCTGCCTCCGAGCAGAGAGGATCCCCAAACGAGGAATGTCGAAGGGCAGAGTCTCGTCTCGGCAGACAGCTACCCGACCCCGTTTTAATTGATTGGTCATTAAGAGGAATTAAGAGGAAAATCAAATAGCTTAGTATAAATCTTATGGAACTCTCCTGTCATTCTGTTCATTCCTCCGGGTCGGGAAGATCACTGCCTACGGATTACTCGTCTCGGCAGACAGTGTGTTTTAATTAAACAAACTAAATCTTATGGCTCTCCTGTCAGTTCAGAGAGGATCCCCAAACGAGGTTATGTCGAAGGGCAAAGAGTCTATGTCGAAGGGCAGACAGCTACCCGACCCCGTTTTAATTGATTAGTCACTAAGAGGAATTAATCAAATAGCTTAGTATAAATCTTATGGAACTCTCCTGTCATTCTGTTCATTCCTCCGGGTCGGGAAGATCACTCTACGGATTAAAGTGTGTTGGTCAAACTCTCTGCCTCCGAGCAGAGAGGATCCCCAAACGAGGTTATGTCGAAGGGCAGAGTCTCGTCTCGGCAGACAGCTACCCGACCCCGTTTTAATTGATTAGTCACTAAGAGGAATTAATCAAATAGCTTAGTATAAATCTTATGGAACTCTCCTGTCATTCTGTTCATTCCTCCGGGTCGGGAAGATCACTGTACGGATTACTTACGGATTACTTCGAAGGGTGAGTGTGTTGGTCAAACTCACTGCCTCCGAGCAGAGGAGGATCCCCAAACGTCATTCTGTTATGTCGAAGGGCGGGAGAGTCTCTGTCAGAGAGGATCCCCAAACGAGACGAAGGGCAGAGTCCTCGGCAGACCCCTGTTTTAATTGGTTAGTTACTAAGAGGAATTAATCAAACAGCTTAGTATAAATCTTATGGAACTCTCCTGTCATTCTGTTCTTTCCTCCGGGTCGGGAAGATCACTTTACGGATTACTTCGGGAGTGTCCTTGTCAAACTCTCTGCCACCGAGCAGAGAGGATCCCCAAACGAGGTTATGTCGAAGGGCAGAGTCTCGTCTCGGCAGACAGCTACCCGACCCCGTTTTAATTGGTTAGTTACTAAGAGGAATTAATCAAACAGCTTAGTATAAATCTTATGGAACTCTCCTGTCATTCTGTTCATTCCTCCGGGTCGGGAAGAACTCTACGGATTACTTCAGGGAGTGTGTTGGTCAAACTCTCTGCCTCCGAGCAGAGAGGATCCCCAAACGAGGTTATGTCGAAGGGCAGAGTCTCGTCTCGGCAGACAGCTACCTGACCCCTGTTTTAATTGATTAGTTACTAAGAGGAATTAATCAAATAGCTTAGTATAAATCTTATGGAACTCTCCTGTCATTCTGTTCATTCCTCCGGGTCGGGAAGATCACTCTACGGATTACTTCGGGAGTGTGTTGGTCAAACTCTGCCTCCGAGCAGAGAGGATCCCCAAACGAGGTTATGTCGAAGGGCAGAGTCTCGTCTCGGCAGACAGGCAGACCCCTGTTTTAATTGAAAAT